GCATTGAGGTGGCAAGGTCCAAGCATGGGATCTTCATCTCACAGAGAAAGTATGTTCTGGATCTACTACAAGAGACGGGGAAACTTAGGGCAAAGGCAGTTGATACACCTATTGATCAGAACCACGGATAAATGCCTCAGAAGGTGAACTAGTGAAGGATGTTGGGAGGTATTAGAGATTAGTGGGGTGGTTGCTATACCTATGTATGACACAATCAGACATCTCTTATGTAGTGAGTGTGGTGAGTCAATACATGCATGCACCACGAGTTCAGCATTGGAAGGCTATTGACAGGATACTTGCCTATTTGAAGGGACACCCAGGAAGAGGCATATTGTTTGCTGACCATGGACAGTTGAAGTTAGAGGCTTACACAGATGCTGATTGGGTAGGATGTCTAGATGACAGGAAATCTACATCAGGAGTTTGCACTCTTGTTGGAGGTAGTATGAACAATATAAAAAACAGAAGAACATATTTTATTGCTTGCTTTAAAGGAATGTCTACAATGCTTTCCAAGCTGACAACCTTCACACTCTAAACTAGACAAACTGACAAACTCAAACATCTTCGAAAACAAGAAACGCAAAGAAGCAAAAGACAAATGCCCTAACTGATTATGCCAAAGCATAATTTGACCCACTGACTCTGACTCAATACCCCTGCTGACATGATGAATCTGATGACTAGGAAGCGCATCAAGAAGATAGATTCCATTCACCTCACGACCACTCCCAATCATCCTCTTTGATTCCAAATCTTGCAAAACACAATGACCAAGAGAAAAAATCACTAAACAATTCAAATTCTTTGTCAAACTACTAACAGATAAAGGTTAGTACTCAGTCTAGGGACATAAAGGACAGAGGGTAAGGCAATGGTATCGGTTATCTTGACAAACCCTTTCCCAGCAATGGGAACATGTGATCCATCAGCTGTGGAGACTTTATCTCTGCCAGAACAGAGGTGGTATGTGGAGAAAATAGTGGAAATGTTGGTTATATGTTTTGAGGCTCCCGATCCAAGGAGGTCCCTCCTTACCTATAGTGGAAACATAGTTTGCAGTGGCATGTGAACTACCTATATGTGCAAAAGAAATAGAATGGCCACCTCCTAATCCACCTGTACCCTGTTGTTCGCCTGATAATGGGTTGGAACTGACTGTATCCCTCAGGTTAAAAAATTGTCCATATCTCTCCAATTCGGCCCTTACTAAAGTTGTTGTAACAAACTCTGGAGAAACTGTAGTAGGGGGTCCTGATAAATCACCAATTACTGCCATATTCACATTTCCCTTCTTGTTTCTGAATCAACTAGGTACAAGGTGTGGGTAAAGCTTCCAGCAGGTATCTCTGGTATGTTTAGACTTCTTATAGTAGTCACAGATCAAATCCTTCTCATCCTCCTTCCCAGGTTCATTTCCACCATTGTCTCCACTCGGCTTAGGCTTCACTGTACTAACCATAGCTGATTGCTCAAGGCCTGGTTCCTCATCATCACATTCCTCCTACTCTCCTCTCCAGACATAAAGGCATATGCCTGAGAGAGAGTTACACTGTCTCTATAAAGAATATGTTGTCATGCAATGTCATACTCAGGGTTAAGTCCAATTAGAAATGTTAGATAGTGTATGCCCTTAGCTCCAATCAGATTGATATACATATACATTTATTGTAAATGAATAAAAGTACATTATTGTTTCATGTTGATATTGGTATGTTTTTGTGTAATTACCCCTTAAACTAGACACATATGAGGCTCATGTTAGTTTATAATGTTCTCAGTCGTTGGATAGACTTGAAGAGTTTATCTTGACAAGGCTAACACTGATGTGCTACCAAAGAAGTTGGGGCAACTTGTCTCAACTACTAGGGTTAGACCCGAAGCACATGTAGTGTGTGTTTGGATGAAACACTAAACCCAGACCATTTTCTAGTTATGCCCTGGACCTTGCAGATTGATAAGCAAAACTGGAAAGTTACACACAACCCCTAGACTTGATTATGGTATTGCACTAGGTGTTGGATTGAATTGTTTTTGATATGCCAATCAGTGAGATCCATCAAGGGTCATAACCTGGGTATTTTGGGACAGTCTGAGAATTCACTTAAGTGGGTGATCATAGTGATAGGATTGGTCCCATTGTCTGACAAAGTAAATGATAGATTTTCACTCTCTCTGATGGAAACCTAAACTGTCGATAGTGTATTTCAACTATGATTGAGATTTGGTTTTGCAAAATATACTTATATGATATATATATATATATATATATTAATGTTTTATGAAAAATGTTTGCAAAAGGTTTTAATTCTCGGGATCCATCCGAGTAGAGAGTGTGATACTACACCTTGCAGCAAAGGGAGAGGTCATTCCCTATTGGGCAGTGTTTGATCATTATGGGCTGAAAGGTTAAGTGTAAAAGACTATTAAGGGCTTATTACCTGATGGGCTTTATCTTACTTAAGTCCATTATCCTTGGGTCTTCATAGGATGGCTGAATTCAATGATCATTTAAGTGTAAATGTTGGGTCCATATTGAGTCCATAGTGATGTGCTCAGGGGTTCACTGCATTTAATAGTGAATTCAGCCAAGCCTTTTCACAAAGGCTAGACTAAACCCATATGGACTTATGTGAAGTCATTGTGGGGTCCCGCGCCATACAAATCAGGCCTAAGTGGGAAAGGCAACACTCTGGAATCGTGAGCCTTATAGTCGATGGGCCTAAGGCCTATAATTAATAAATTAATTAAGCTGTCACATGACAACTTGTCATGTGCCATGGGGCAAATTTGGGTTTGGATCTAGGTATGGAGCACCTAATCTTATAAGAAGATAAAGTATATTTCTAATTAGAGTCCAGATCTGATTTAGATATGGATTATCTCCTAATTAGATTAGGAGATAACTCCATAAGAGATTATAAAAGAGGAGGGGGCGGACCAGTCCAAGACAGCTTCATATTTTTTTGCAGTTTCTAGTTCTCTTTGCACCCTTTTGTTTCCTAGTTTTTTCTCAGTTCAACGTTAGCTATCTGGGACTGATTTAGATTAGTTTTCCTCTGATTTTTGCAAGAAAAATTTAGGGAATATCAGGCTCATCATCCTCAATTCAATTCAAGTAGTTGGATCTCAGTTTTGCTAAAAAACTATGTTATTGAATCAGCTTTACCTATACACTATGACATCTTTAGTGGAGGCTGGTTTTAGGACTGATTTGGTCATGAACTTCCACCTTGGGATCTGTGTTTGTGGTATCTGTATCAGGTATACATCTCCCTCTTTGTTTGGTTTCATATCTAGTCCAGTTCAATGCAAGACCGATCCTGAAAATTGTAGTTTTTCAAAACATAGGGAATTCGATTTCCAAAAAGATTAGGAAATTTTTAAAATTTCACCCAGCCATCTAGCACGGTTCAACCATCCATATGATAGATCCTAACACTTCCGATAAGAAACTCAAAAACCCTATTCTTCTCTACCAGCTTCTTATAAGTTGTTGCATCCTTGCTACTTTCCTAAACCACAATCTCCAAATGATCTATATCCAACCGTAAGGTTTTGAGGGCTGAAAAGTAAATAGCAACAAATTTATCTCCCTGCCTGGTAGCAATCACCTGGTTTCTCAACTAGTAGGCTCTAGCAACATTCTCATTCTGTGAATAATTTTCTACAACTCCATCCCAAATCTCCTTAGCTATGTTAGACTATAAAGTTTTTACTTATATGGGGCAGCATGGAATTGTACAGCCAAGTCATCACCATGTAGTTCTCCTATACCCATCGGGAGTAGTTAGTTTCAGGTTTCTTTTCCTCACCGGTGACATACCCCAATTTCCCATGAGCACCAATGGCCATCTTTGCAGATTGGGACCACTCTAAGTAGTTTATACCATCTAACTTGACTGTAGTGATGGTCCCAACCCTGAAGAGGTCTCCAGCACCTCCTCCCCCTTGTCTCATTTCACTTCCAAGTTTGTTTTCAACTCCACAACCCTCCATAACTCCCAAAAAGGATTAGAAAATCAATTTGAGATGAAAAGAGAGGTAATTATCTCCTTCGAAAACCTCAAACACCTTTCTGGTACCCTAGAAGCCCCTCCCTCCAAAGATTCCCTTTTCCGTGGGAGTGAGAGAAGAGGTTGTCGCTCCCTCCAAAGGCCTCCAAAAAAGCTAGGACTTGAACTGGCCCCTTCAGAAAAATTCAAGGAACCCTAGAAAACTAGAGTGCCACTTCCTAGGTCAAAACTAAAGAGTTCTACTAAATCAAGACTCTCCCCCTTTCTCCAGTTCTTCCTAGTTTTGGTGTTAAACCCTAAACTAGCTACAAGGGATTGCAAATCCACCTAAAAATCCAAGAACTGGGCTTACCTGAAGTTTTTGATCAGCCCTTTACCTCATCATGTAGTCGGCCGATCTAGGGTTGCATGATGGAGCAGCTCAAGAAACCTTTAACCTTGCTCTGACATCAAGTAGAAAAGTTTTGATAACCTGTTTTGATATAAAATCTGTAAAAGAAAGAAGAGAAAGAAGAGAAGAAAAGGTTTCTGCTAGAACGAAAGAGAAGAGAGATAGAAGAGAATGGAGGAGAAGCCAAAAATCTAATCTGGCCGCCCCTTTCATTAGATTATATACTCATAAATAAAGAGCATACAAGTAGAAGTATGCCCTTAGTAAGTCGGCTACTTGTAGGAAGATGAAATGTCACACTTAACTTAAACATAAACAAATGGGCCTAAGGCCCAACAACTACCTAAGTTATATAAATAAAAACAAATAAAATCGGCTCACAACTCAACACATCCCAATAATAATTAGCATACTAACAACTCATAGTAAGATTAGAAGCCAACCTAAGTTATAATCTTCTTGTTTTAATCCAATCTTGGCATACTATTTTCATAGAGAACAGAAATGCAGATGCTTATTGCTCCAATCCTGACCTATTCTAAAATGAAATAAAAACTTGCAAGGAAATGATAGGGGGCAGCATTTTTTACCTACATGAGGATGTTTGGGAGGCATTGATTGATGCTTGTTGAAGCCATAGAAGAGGCCAAATGCTACAACCCTACGGATTGGAGCCACCCATGGTCACTGGTGGGCCCATCCTTGTGGTGTTGTGAGAGACATTTTGGGGACAATTCACTTGTTATGAAATACCACTGCGAAGGGAAACAAAGCAAAATGTTAGAAGACACCTGCAAACAATATTTGCAACAAGGGGAAAACAAAGCACAATGTTAGTAAATAGTTGCAATTTAGACAAAGAAAAAGAGTACAAACATTGTCAAACAATGCATAATGTTAAAAATGAAAAAATAAAATAAAATAAAGGTCGATCACCATTGCAAAAGAAGCAAATCCATAGTAGGTCCTCCAAACGAAATGGAGGTACCCATAAACCCAAGGTTTAAAGTATTGGAAACGCAAGGTGTATCGGAAAGAAAATTTTAAGAGACATCGGGATACGCTTTGGATACGAATGGATATGGACGAAAAATCAAGATACACATAAATATATTAGGAAATTCAAATAAACTCTAGAAATATATATAACAATAATTACAAGTTTTATATGATTCTAAATAAGTAATTTAAATGTAAAAAACCATAATTTAATAATTTATATAAAGTGAGATATCAGGACCCAATTAGTAGCCATTGAAAAATTATGGAATAACTAAAATGTGAATAAAAAAACAAAAAAAAAACAAAAATATGAATGTATATACACCAATTTTTATAATAACCAATATTATTTATCTTAATATTCATTAGTATATAAAACTTAATAATTAATCCTAGCATTTATTAATAAAGACCCACTAAGAAAAGAGAATATTTACTTAAAAATAAAAATGCATATACCCATAACAAACAAGTGGGTGTGGCCCGGTGGCGAACTTATGGTCGTTAAAGTCTAGTAACCAAGGTTCAAGTCTTGCCATTGTCTAAAGTTTGTAGTTTTTATAATAACAAAATGAAATTAATGAAGTAAAAAAGAAAAACTAAATTAATGAGAGAGGATCATTAATTAACGGAATTAATGAGAGAATTTGACTTAGGCGCTAAAATTCAAATTTAAAATTTAAATTTGTCATAGAAGTAATTAACTAATTAATGACAGAGAAATTAGACTTAAATATAGGAGTAATTAACAAAAATAATGAGGGAGAATTCAGTATTAAATATAGATTGAGAAGGGGGCCGGAAACAATCAAGTGTATCGGGCTGTATCAGACTGTTTCAGGCCCATACCGGCTGATACAGACCCGAAACAACCCAATACGGGCCCGTATCTGCACGATACATACAAAAAGAGACGGCACAAATAATTTCTACAAGTTCCACGTATCAGGTTCTTGTCGGAGCGATGCTTATCGACCAATACGGTCCGATACGTTGTGATATTTTGAACCTTGGGTACCCCTGTGAAAACTGAAAAGATAGGGTGAGAAGAGGGGAAAGTAATTGTGATGTACTCTGGTCCTATTGGGGTTGCTGATTCTCTTAGAGCCGAGGTCATGGCGGTGTTGGAAGGGGTAAAGAAGGCAAAGGAAATGAACATTCAGAAGCTAATTGTAGAAGGTGACTTGAAACTGATGATAGGATGGCTGAAAAGGAGAATAGTAACCTTTGGCAATTTGCTAATGAAAAATGAGAGTTTGAATGGGTAACTCGGGGAATAGAAATTCAGCTTCATTGGGTGAAGAGAACTGCTAATTCCTTTGCAGATACTCTGGCTAAACAAGGGGTGGGAAGGGAACAATTGTTTTGGGCAGTGTTGTAATTGTTTTTCTGTTTTTCTTAGGGAGGGTTAAGAGATTTTATCTCTCCCCTCTGCTTCCTTTTAAACTCTTGTTTCTTTTTTAATAAAAAGGTTTTATTATTGATAAAAAAAACAATAATAATGGGAAGAGGGGGGTCCTTTTTTTACTTTGAAAATGGAAATCCCTCTCGTGTGATAACTTCTACCTCCCATTAATATTTTTTTTTTCTGGTCAGAAAAAAAGAGAGAAAAAACTCCATGAAATAATTCCTATGGATGTTCTGAAGTAACTAATTAATTTGGTGAATTTCTTTTTTTTCCTGGATAAACATTGTCCAGTTGGACAACTACATTTAATGAATTTTACAAAGAAACTTAAGGACACAACAATAAGGAGAAAGCTGTTAGAATGTTAGAGTGATGTTCGGCTGATAAGAGTTCTTATTAGCCCAGTCTTATGTTTAACTTATCTTGTAACTGGGTCTAATCCTGTTTAGTGATTTAAGTCATCTGAGTGTCCCATCACTAATCAGGGGCATCCCAGTAATTTCTTGTACCTTGTACTATATTCATCTATAAATAAAAAACTGGTCGACTGCCTAGTACAGTTCGACATTCTCTTCAGTTCTGTGGTTCTCTTCTCCTCCTTGCTACTTCGRGTATAGCTCTTCAGATTACATGGTATCAGAGCATTAGCTCCTTCCTGGTTTCAGCAGGYGCACTCTCTTCTCTTGCTGTCCTTTCATCTTCTCTCTT